AAAAAAAAAAAAAAAAAAAAAAAAGTAATAAATTCTGTACAAGGGGAAAAATAAGGCTGATACCAGAGATATCAGCAGAATATTTTTAAGAAAGTCAATAAAGAAACTAAAAGACAAGGATTTCACATCTACTCAGCCTGTCATTCAAGTGACAAGACCACAGAAAAACAGCTTGGACTGTGCAAGATCTCTGGGATACTGCAGGGAGGAGTCGTTCCTGAGGAATATATTAGTGCACGAGCTTTTATACAAACAGGAAAGAAGAGGGTAAATACAGCAAACAAACTGATGTCAATCTTTAATAAATGTAATTTTAGAATTGACCCTAAAACAAGGTGACAGCATGGGTAAAGGATATATACGCATCTTCTAACCAAGTAGCAAGAATACAAAAGGAGGAAATATGCAGAAAAAGGACTACGGGAAAGTACAATAGGAGCATCAGCTATTAAAGGTAGCAGATGGGAGTCAGGGCGCCATTTAGAAGGTTAAGTATAAGTAAGGGGGATTAAAAGCATTATAAAGATATAAATACAAAGGTAACCACTAGGACAAAAACAAAAACCTTCCAAAATTTCATAATAATAATAACTTCAGAGGCAATTCTCCATAACATTCTACACATCTTACGTTAGCCATCAACCTTTGTTCAGAACTACCTTACAAAGATGTTCTGTATAGCAAACAGTCTTGGAAGACAGTGATACAAAAGGGGGACATCTGTAATACTTTCAATAATAAGGGTAAATTTAAAAAGAAATCTGCCCCTGGAGCAGAAGGCAGTTTTGTTACCTAATTAGAATAATAAAAGACAATGTCTCACTCTTGGGCAAAGTTTGGGCAGATTTTCTATAAGCTCCTTAAAGAATTCCTAAACTTCAAGTCCTTCAGCTATGACACAAACCTTCTGGGTATGCAGCAGCATCCCATGGGACTTGGGGGTCAAGGGGAACCTATACAACCATGAAGCATATACTACCTTTTGTGCTTCTCTGCTATTAGTAATAAAATGCTTTGTCTCGGACCCAGGAATCTTGTGTCTTCTGTCAGCATCTATAAAAATGTGGCAGGCATGCAAGTAGGCTAAAATCTCACACCCTTAATAAAGACGCAGACAAATAGAGAAAGAAATATATAAATATAATGATATACACAATGACGGAACAATTTCCAGGATATGTTAAATTTTAAAAGAGCAAAGTACAAAAAAGTATATGTAATATGCTACTTTTTATAAGAAATAGAAATAGATGCATATATACATATATGTTACAAAAAACACAGGAAAGATAAATCAGAAGTTAACTAAAGTTAGCTACCTACAAGGAGTAGAGGAGCTGGAAAGGAAGGGAGTGCTACCTCTCTGAGAACATCATTGCATATAATATTTTGACTTTTAGAAGCATGTTAAAGTACAGACATGCAAATATATAATTAAATCAACAAGAACAGAAACAAAATCACCTAAACCTCAATGCAAACAGAAACAAATGAATGCAACTGTATTTCAAATGAATAACCTAACTATACCCAAGGAGGAAAAGAACTCAAATGAACCCTGAACTCTTTTTATTAAATTTATTTTTCAGAAGGTTAAGGATGTAGCAATTTTGAAACTATGAATTTTATGTGTATTACATGACTGAGCAAATGGGTAAATGTATGGATGATGTTAGCTGTCAAGGTTCTCACTCTGAATAAAAGAGAAATACAAATATGAAATGGGGAGGCAAGGAAGAATTTTGTGGTTAGGATCAAAATGGGAAGTATTATTATGACTCATAATTCTTAAAAATATCTACCTACCTACCTATTAATCTAATCTGAGACTGAAAGGTCCTAGAAGTAATAAAATCCCAGAGACAAAGAGCACATCACATGTCAGATCTTGACTTCTAAATACTAATTCTTCTAAAATGAAACAGGGCAATTTGAAATGACTGATTCCAGGAGTGGGGCAGCGAAGGTATAAGAGCCTGGAATATATTGCTGTGCCAGATGTAAGACAGTACCTAAAAAAAAATGGGGTATGTCAAAAAGGACCCAGAGGCCATCTTGAAAGTCTGGGACAACTTGAGCATCAAAATAAATAAGGAAAGTAATTAATGAAAACCTATTTAGTAAAATAAAAATCCATTACTCCTTGCTCACAATATACAGATAAAGAGAGAAAGAATGGTAGGCTCTCTTTATAGTAGACTGCTGCCTACTAAATATGGGAGGAGCAAAAGAGTTGGGAAACCTCCATTTTGCAGTTATCGGGCAAGAATCATCAGTGGATGACTGGGCACCAAGCTTCACAGGTTCTGTCTAGAACTTTAAACAGACATAGGCTTTATGGGTAGTAGATGGGTTTGTGAAAAGAAAAATAAAGTGGTACTGGGCAGTATACTTTAAGTATATTTAGCTAAGAATAACATGCTAGACAGCTCCCAAGAAAAGTTGGCAACATGGAAATAAAGGAATGATAGAATAAAATAAATTTGAAAAGGCGAAAGCTACATAAAGAAGAAATTATTCCAATGTGTGGAATGCTCTTTTCATTCTAATTTTATACCATATATTTTATAAAATCAATCTATTAGAAGTTATACTTCTAATTGTACTTGGCTATACAGCCAATTCAAAGAAAGGCTATCTGTGCTAGATGGCAAGGGCTCTAAGTATCTGTTCAGTTGGGAAGTGGAGAGACACAAACTGAAAGAGCACAACTGCTAGACAGGTTTCATTAATGCTCAACCAATAAATTCTTGAGTTCACTTCCTTCTCAGGTTGCTATCAAGAATATCACTGGCTTTTCTGAATATTACTAGTGCAAAAAGCAATATATATGTATATAGGTATGTATATATATATATATGTGGTATTGTTATATAGTCATGTTCATATTATTGTTAATAGTTCAGAGTTGAGTCAATTTAACAATAAGTTATAGTCTTTTGAACAACTTAGATAAAATGCATTAAAATCATCTACTTCCCACTACCTGTTGTATTAATCCAGGCTCTCTCATCCCAAAAATGCATTATGTTTGAAATATATTTGATGTATATAACACAGATAAAAATAAAATATTACTTAGGTTCAAGAACAGAAAAGAATAATTAACAAACAATTGATCCTGACTTTATAAGTGGCTAAGCTTCACCAAAGGTTTTTAATTTTTTTTATGTGGAGAACTCTTTCTTCAGATGAAATCTTATTTTAAAAGTTCAAAATTGTACAAAATAAATAAAAGTGGAACTACTCTAGTTAAAGTGGGCAGAGAAAGTCTGGGGAGCCACCTGCTTTGGGGAGCCTTCCTGGCAGCCCAAGGCACAGTTAGAAAACCACTGCTGCAGAAGATTATGAGTATAAATGCATAGTCACTGATTATATTAGTCAGTATAAAAAACATAAAATTTAAACTAAAAAATCTAGCTCATTATTATTTACTGAGAAGTATGAACCAAGTAGATATAAAGTCTTTTTAATAAATAATTTATAAGAGAAATATAAAAGACAGCTCATTTTGACACGATGGTAGGGGTTCTTCCTAGTTATAAACCCTCAACTGATACTGAAATTTGATGTCTTAGATTAACATTTTCATTCTGATGTCTGTATGTCCTGAATATATGTGCCACTATGAAGTGAATAACAGGGATTCTGGATATAATTTTTAATAATGAGAATAACAATTTTATTTACTTCTAATCTGGACGAATATATAGTTCAAATTTTTTAACTAGGGTATTATATTCTGCTTTTTAATAATTATCTGTAATTTTGGGGATAATTTTTCAAAAGTCTAAGTTTCCTCAGTTTCCTTTAGCTATTGAAAGGAAAACCAAAAATCCCTTACAACTCTACTATTGTAAGTCAAAATGAAGCTGCCTCTTGCTACTGTTTTTGTAGAAGAACAAAAGCACATTAATAGTTAACAAAGCTACAATATGATATATGAATGAGGTCTTGCATTAAAAAAAGTACTTAGATTGTATTTACCAAAGAATCTCTCATTAATTATTCAACATTTGGACTTGACCAGAAACCAGAGCATGACTTTATAATGCTCTGTTTAAATGAACTACTTAATGTTGTAATGAACACTCACTGTGGTAAGTTCAATGGATCTTGGACCTGTTATAATACAACAGTTTTTCCAATTTTTTGATTAATGGACAGATTTTAATGTTAAGTCAGTTTGAATTTCACTTACGCTTTAAAAATGTTTACTTAAACCAAAAATTTTGCATCTCAATTATTTTATATTCTAAACTGAATGTAGTTTAAATCAATGCATTATTCATAAAGCAAAGACATTAGGAAAAACAAAGCTGTGCACTTCTTTCAAAGCCGTTAAATTGCTAAAACATACCGTATTTATGCATGCAGTATTTGATTGTGTTTTTCTTAAAACACAGCTTGTTTTTGTCAGATCAAGATATGCCAAAAATTCTACACCGAACATTTTTGTTTATAATTAAAGCAATCATCAATCCAAGGATTGTCATCCATTTTATTTCATCTCTACATCAAAAAAAAAGTAATTTAAAAAAATTTAAATTCCCTTGAAATGACAAGATAAATGAAAATGTAAGTGCCTTCACATAATAACAGTAAGCTGACCCTTTGGGAAATGGTTGACTTTCTCAATACAAGGTATTCAAAGCTCATTCTAAAAGTGTTCATTTAGAATGCAGATATCAAAGATGATGCAAATGTTCAAGAGAAAATTAGAACTTACCAGATGTTCTAATCCAGCTTTGATGTTTCCAGGTTCCCTAAAATAGAAGAAAAAAAGTTCTAAATAGTTGCTAAACCCTTGTCTACTATAATTTATGTTTACCTCAAAACTGTTTTATAAACCCTTAGAAGTTTTTCATATATCTTTACTAATGTTCATATAGCACTGTTATTAAGGACAAAACAATTTCCACCAAAAGGAAACAGATATTTAATTTATCTCTACTAGTATTACCACTAAGTTGATATTCCACTAACAGAAAGAATGTTGCTGATCTTTCAAAGTCAGTACACAACAAAAAGAAGTATATTATTATTTTACTATTGATTTACCTATTTATTTCACGTCAGCTTTTTCATTAGCTTGTTTTTCCCAACTTTTATTACAGAAGTGTTCAAACATACAGATTCTATCTACCATCTAGATCCAATAATTGACATTTTACTATATTTGCTTCATCAAATATCCATCCATAATGATCGCATTTTTACACAGAGTATGCTCATAAATAATACGTTCATAACTTCATTGCTAAACAAGCAAATCTTAACAAAAATTTTGTTGACATTAATTTTATTAACTTAGTGTACGCTACAAATCAGGACCTAAAACTATTGAAATATTAAAAAACGAAATATCACCAAAGAAAACAAACATCAAATAACATATTTTAAGTATTTAACTTCTTGCTCTACACTGTAAACAAAACACTGCTGATGGAATTAAAAATACGAATACCTGTGTAAGTAGCAAAGATAATTTAAATATACACTTAGTGAAATGTGGCAAATAGTTGAATTTTTTATCCTGACTTCAGTCTATTCACACAAATGGTTTTTTAGCTTTTCTCACGCTGGTCAGGTAGTATTTTAATTCCATCATAAATACCAAAACTTATTTTTTAACATGAAATTATACTTTTACCACATTGCAGAAAAAAATTATGGAAATTCAACAACCGAAAACAATATTGCATTCATGATGTTTAATCTTTTCCCACACCTTTTTCCTTCTCTGAAGGGGTGTTTGTTTCTTTTTCTCTTTATTTCTGTCTCTAATTTTCTTTGCCAAAAATATACTTCTGTTTCCTTTGTCTTGCTATGCAATCTTTCCAAATTTCCCTATCTTTTTTCCCTTTGAATCCACTGCCTGAAAACTAAACTCATGGCTTCTAACCTTTGCTCTCTCACTGCCCAGTCTGACATACTGGGAATAAATTCCAACATCTACTGATTAGCAAAGCACATATCTTCAGCTATTCTGTTCTCTACTTTCTGCTCTGGCAATCTTAGCAATACTATGTATTCAGTGTTTAAAATCCCTGGCTGGGGATTTTTAACTCATCCTCTGGATGTAATCCTAATGACAAATGATAAAAATAAAGTATAACAAGGTGTCCGAGTAGAGCCAGTAGACTTCCCCATGAGGGGAAGATGCCAGTCAGGTTCACAGTAAAGTGGGGGAAATGGCCCCTGCCTCAAAGACACACAACTTAGTAACTGACACCCCCTTAGTCTGCCCAGTTTCCTACACCCCAGCCCAGGCAGATGACTCCTCAGTAGGATACAAGCTCTACAGGGCTGGGTGACAGGGAGTCCAGAGGGTTGGGCTATTGCACTTCTCCAGGTTGATGCCATATGGAAGGGAGTGTTCCATCCAAGAAATATGGTGTCTGTGGTGTGGGAAAGAAACTCAGCTCAGGAATCCTGGTGGCTGTCCCTTCAGCTCTTTCCCTAGAGCCACAAACCACAGTGTCTTCTCATGTGACTATATTCCACTCTGCCCTCCCTCTGCAGGAGCCCAGGTTGAGAGGCTGTGAGGATTTTGTGCACTGGCCCTTTAAGAGAGTGCCTGTGTCTCTAGCAGACTCCTGTCTCTCCCTGGCAGACAGAATCCCCACTGATTTTCACAGGCAGATGTTTCACAGCCTGTTCATGGTTATAGTGCTCTGGGCTGGGGAGCCCGGCTGGGGTTCAGACCCCATGCTTCTCAGAGGGAACCACTGCAGCTGAGATATCCCTCTGGAATCTCAGCCATCACCATGAGAATAGGGCCTTCCCTTTTTGCCTCTCCGCCCTTCCTACCAGTCTCAATGTGGCTTCTTCTGTAAATCCTTAGTTATAAGTTGTATTGTTTTTGATGGAGTAGGAGGACACAGTGGAAAAAGTAGTTTACTGAGCCCAGAGTAAAACACCTGAGGTTTTGGAAACTAGTTTTTAAATTAACCCAGAGAAGCATCAGCCAGAACCTAGACTTTTATCCCCCTTCTTAGATTAAAACTACTAGCCAAGGTACTGATGTTGTAGGAGGTAAAAGAGAAGCCCAGAAGGAAAATTTTAATATATCTAAAGTGTGTAAACACGGGACTGGAAAAAATAACATAGCAACCTCATCCAAAGAAAATAGAATACCCTGAGCAAGAATATAATGTAAGCATAATAATATCTCCAAAAGGAAGATTTTTAGAAATTGAACAGGAAAAAAGTTATGAAAAAGTATCAATATGAGGTAATGGGTATTAAAAATACAATAGTTTGAAATGAAGAACTCAGAGAATGGATTGAAAGCACAATAGCTACAGGCTGAGAATGAATTAGTGAACACTGGGTACAAGAACTCTCCCAGAAGGCATAAGAGAGGGATGAAAAAATAGAACAAAAAAGAGATAAAATTAAGAACAGGAGTATATGTATGAACATCTACATAATGGAAAACCTAGAAGGAAAGCAAAGACACTTTAGAAGAAAAAAAACATTTGAAAAAATGACAAAAATTTCCCATAGAAATATTCAGATTTACAATGAAAGGTTACCTCAGTAGTAAATAGGGTAATTAAGGAAAAATCCACAGCAAAGCATAACATAAGGATAATGAGACTATCATAGATCAAGATAAAAGTCTAAAAGCATCCAGAAAGAAAATACATACACATATCCCTCCATAAAGGTAGAATAACACTGACATCAGACTTCTCAATACTAATGCTGGGCAAGAAAGTATTAACTTCCAAGATAAAGTAAATGTTAAAGGAAAAGGACTACAATCTTGAATTTATATATAGCTAAATAAACTATTACTTAAATTGACAGAAAAATTTAAAATTTTATAGCATACAAAGTCTCAAGAAACTAACCATACAAAGACATCTGAACAAAGTTCTGAGGAATATAATGCAGTAAGATGAAACATAAATTCAGGAAGAAGCAACAAAATAAACAAGTAAAGGTTGGCACAGAACATAGTAATTATTGTAGTCTAAGCAATCAATGACTAAAAAGAAAACTAAAGAAAATTCACCCATAATGATCTGGAATTAAAATACCAGAGAAGATTTTTAGATTGGTAAGAGACAAAATCCAGCAATGTGTCATTTACAGAAGACACAGAAAACAAAAAGATTCAGGAAGGTTTCCAGACAAGAGATGGTAAAAGATATAACAAGGTAAACATGAACCACAAGAAAGTTGGGGTGATAATTTTAGTGATCAATTATATTAAAAACCACTTCCCTCCCCACAAAAAATATTTTTGAGATATAAAAAATAGGACATTCTATTCTAGTAAAAGATGCAATAGATTAAGAAATTTTCATTTATATCCAGAAAGTTTACATATTCATAGAACTTAATAAGTATCATAGATTGGGACACCAAAGTTTCAACAAGTTCTCCATGAAAATCAGTTTTCTTTCGTTTTACTTTGGGCAGAAACACAGAAAAGGTGGCCATCTCAAAACCACAGATAAAGCATCATGTGTACATAAACACTACAAAAGACAGCATGATATATAATCCTGGTTCTAGAAGCAGAATACCTACACTCAAATTTAAGCTCTTACAAAATAGTTGCAAGAGCTTAGGTAATAGGCCAACTTCTCTAAAGCTCAGATTGTTCTTCTATGATGTGAAGATTCTGTAAAACCTGCCTTACCTAACACATACAGTTGCAGTGAAAAAAGCAGCAAGATAATGTACATGAAGGTACACCATAAATGGCAATGTGCTATATTAATGTTATTATAATAGATATTTAAATATAAATGCCTTAAAAGTGGTTCCAAAAGTCTTAATGCATTTTTAAAAATAGAGAGGCAAGATCCAAGACATTGACAGAGGGATCTTCCAACAAATGGTCCTCTTTAAAGGCCTGTCCTCTTTAGTGGTCTGTCTCTTGGGTTGTCCCTGTCATGACTTCATCAATATTTGTGCAACTCCTTTTGCCCTGTGCTGAAAGCAGACTTAATTCAATTATAGGTCTCAAAACTGATAAAATGGTCCTGAAGTGGAAAATGGGAAGAGATTATTGGCAAATGAATAAAGATTTGTATCGAACTAACACACAGGAGTACAGCAGGTCTTTTTTTAATCATTCCCTGTCTTAAATCTTCTGGGAACCATGAGTTTCCCTTCCCCTCATGCAGCACATCGATTTCTGAATTAGACTGCAATATTAAATAATTAATATACTTGCCATGATTGATGTTTTGCATTAGTTGAATATTAGGTTATCAATCAAAATCCACTTGGTTTAATGTAATAATATTGAAAAAGTGTCATGGGCTGTTCATCCAATTTGTAGTTGAGGCAGCACAGATAGTAATGTTGGCATAACACAAGGCTCCAAAGCAGGAAATGCAGTGGCTCAACATATATGAGGCAGACATTTTGAAACTAACTGGGACAAGGCTGAGGTTGTCCTAAATAAACCTTGTGGCACCTGTCAGCTTCAATATTAGGTCTCTTTCCACCAGGAAGACACTATGCATCAATCATATCACAGCAGGCAAGAAAAAAAATTAAAATAAAGATACTAATTTACCTTTGTGGCATACAGATTTCATTATTTTGCCAAAGGAGGCATGCTGTAAATCCAGAAACATGCTATGATAAAGCTTATCTTAAGAAATTACTAAAAAAATAGACTAAGATTTTTTTAGATCTAGTTTTTCTAGGAAGGGAACAACTTTTTAAAATATATGATAACAATATTATACTAAATTGATCATTCAGGTTTTAAATGGTCTAAGGGAACCATGTC